AGAAGAGGGATGCTGGAAGAGATGGCCACACAGGTACTGAGTCGGTCCATGGAAGAGAGCGCTCTCAGCATTTCCCCTGCCACGTGGTGAAGAGGAGAAGCAGCCGTGGAGGACTCCACGCACAGAAGCCCCACCGGAGATGAGATGGGGGAGCCAACAGGATGCTGAAGGCCTGCAGAGACTAAAAGGTGGCTGGGACGGGACTTTGAGAGACTGCAGCCCCATCTTCCCCCACCCGCCATGTGCTGCCAGGGGGGCGAGGTACGGAACAAAGCCTTTGGGACGAAGGGAGGGGTGGGGGAGAAGTGCCTTTTGTGTAAGATGTGGTTTCTCTCTTTCAATATCCTGCTTCTTGTTGTAAATAGTTAATAAATTCAGTTGTTTTATTGTTCTTCACGAGTCGTGTCGGTCTCTTGCCCGTGACCCTGAGTGGTGAGTGAAACCCTCCCAGTTCCCTGCCTCAGCCCACCAGGTGTTTAGGGAAAAACTGTACCCATGGTTTTATAAACCACGACACCAGTTCAAAAGACTTCTTTTTAAGCCATATGGTCTCTGTATGTGGACGGGATGCACCCATCACCCGAATTACAGGTTACCACAGTTGTGTTGTGTAGCCCATCTGCAAATAGCAATGACTGCTTTATACACAAAGTTGGTCTTAACGGTTCTTTTTTAAAGGCTCTAGCTAGAAGAGCTGCTCAATAGTGAAGCTCTATTGGTTGGTAACATGACAGTGGTACAGTTTTGCTGCATGTTATACTGTTTAGGGTAAATTAATAAGAATGACAATGTCATATTAAGATTGTAGCCAGATACACTGAAATTAGGACCTCTGGAGGTTGACAGACCTCCAAGGAAAAATCAAACACCTGCAAGCCTGTCATGCTCTTCACGTGTGCAGTGTGGCAGGCATGTATCCACAAGACATAATTTGAGACAGGATCTGAAGTGCCATCTTCTTGAAGTAAGTCAGGTGTACATTTCATACCTCAGCCTGAAACATGAGAAACAAACTGAACTCTAGGAAGAAATCCCACGAAGTTCTAAGATGATAGCATTAAGAATAGTCAGTGCTGTCTAGCCGTAGAAAAATTGAGTCCTAACACATGTTCACTAAATGACACTAAAAACAAACTGCACTTTTCATATAGTGATCCTCAGAGACTAAACAGAATGCATGTTTTTCCATTCAATTAAAAAAAAAAGTTAACCTTAAAAGTTCAGGATTATGAAAAGCCAAGTATCTTGAAGATCAAAGAACACATTTAAAACCCAGATCTTGCAATACCACTGGACAGACAGGCTTGTAGCCTCAATTAAGTCAAGGATACTCTGCCGGCACACTCAATCCCTGGACTACAGCCCGAGTTTCCATACTCTTTTAGTTCTTCTGACAAATATTTGTGTATGGACACTAATCCTTATGGAACTTATTCCAGGAACTCATTTCAGTCAGACAGGGCTCCATTGATCAACAGTGGCCTGCGATAAAAGATAGTTCTCTATTCCCTTAAAGGCTCCTCTAGTCAAAACAAGAATTAAAGTACTTAACTTTTAATACCTGAAACCTTTCAGATGCTGGCTTACATTTTGCAGTGGGTTATTTTATTTCTCTCATTCTAACGTAAAAAGACTGACATATCACTTCTATTGGCAACGTTCATTGACAGGATGCGGTTAAGAAAAACTTGCACTCAAAATCAAGTAGATATCAAATTTTGTATGGAATCCTATTGAAGGCTACCCCCCCCCCCTCCCCATGAAAACAAGGATACTGCATATATTCAGATTGTGTCCTGGGACTCAATAATTTTTACATACATTTTATATACCAATCATAGTTTCAATTTCTTTAAAAATTATACTCTTCACAATTCAGTTTGGTTTTTTTTTATTGTTAACTAAATAACTGGAACCTTATTTTAGGTATTCAGCATTCTGTTGATAACATCTACTTTCAAATACTTAACGATGATAGCCAAAAGTCCACTAATGAATTTTATGGCTGTCTGTTGAAACACCATTGTGTATGAAAACACTCCAATGAAGCCTTGTAAAAAGCCTCCTAGTTTTAACTTACATGTGAAACCAGTAGGACTGTTTTCTCCATCTATCACAAAAAACATATCAAGTTTTATTTGAAAAAAAAAACCAACACAACAAAGAGTTACATATTGCTTAGTTTTACTTCTGCAAGAGAACTAGCTACTTGTTTCAAAAACAGCTGTCTCTTTGTCAGTCTCCTTGCTGAGACAGACTTGCTAGAAAAATAAAGACCATATCCTTCCAGAAATACAAAATGGAACATTAGCTCAAAAATAATAAATAATAAAGTATATTACTCTAACAATAGTATATTCTTTATACTAACTTCAGGTATATTTTCACAAAACAAAAACCAAAGCACAGCTACTTACAAACCATGCTCTTCCTATACATCATCATCTTCTTAATTCATTCATAAAGTTTCTATTTCAATAGGAAAAGCTTGGGGAACAACCTTAACTGTTTTAGGGGAACACTATTTACCAAAAGCAAATTCCAATTTTTGTAAAAAAACGACCGCAGACATTGAATTAATCCAGTATAGCCTAGACAAATTAACTGTACTTCTGATGCTATATTACAGATAAAATAGAAAAAAACAAGAAACTTCCTTTTTATTGAAAACTACTATTGAGAAAATGTAGGGTCTTTAGCAACAGAGACCACTATGAAGTATTTGAAAACAAAAAACATGCACTTCGAATCCTTCACCATTTCTGAAGTCTTGAAACCCATATTTTCCAAAAAGTTTTACAAAAACTTTATATATATATATACACACACAACCGCACACATCTATCACTGTTCCATCCTTCCAAGTCGCCGCCGCCGTCTACAGAAAGCCTTTAAGTTCCATTTGTTTGCCTCCAACATACAAGGTCCGTTGTAGACCAACAACACTGTCATCTTGTCATTGTACGTGAGATTCTGCAGGAGCTGGTAAAAAAACAATAAAAGCAAGGTCAAAATAGCTAGAAGAGATGTTCCCCACTATCTGAAAAAGGTGAAGGAGGTCTACATAAAGTCTTAGATCTCAAAAGGTCAATAATAGCAGGATTATAGCCTTTCTGACAAATGATGTATATTTGTTCCTAGAAACCCCGCAAAGAGACTCCACTCATTCTTCAGGCAATTTCCATGCTTCACTATTCTTACTACAAGTCTTCATATCTAATCTGTACCTTCTTGCTGCAAAGGTAGTAATTACTTTTTTGCTGTATCCACAATGGGCAGAGCATATTGTCTGTTTTTCCTTTTTTGCCACGGGAGGGCAGGAGGTAGAGTTGCCTGGGCACAGTTTTTATGTCTCTCTTCAGTCTTGTGCTCCTCTGAGCTAAGCAATTTCTACTAGTGGAAATTCAAAACTTGTAAAGCTTGTTAAAAGTTGCACTGCTGTCTTCTGGAGTAACTCCAGACACTGTACTACTTTTCTAAAGTGTAACAGCCAAAGCTGGATGCTTACCATAGTCCAAATTTTGTCAGGCGCAAGCCCAGCAGACTGACAGATATCATGGAAGCTGTGGGGTTATCTGCAGTGCTCAAGATGACTTTTAGCAATTTACTTGCAGCTGATACTCATCATCCACAATAACTTCTCTCCCCAGTCATTCAGGCATTTATGCTTTAGACCAGACACTGTTGTTGATATTTCCCACTTAAATACCAACTCCTATGCTTGTTTGTGCATCCTGTTTTCAAATTAAGTTACCTAATCTAAGATTGTTTTGAATTCTAAGCTTGCTCTACATCAAAGAAGCATTCACACCCAACATGGTGATTACTTGCATGTTTAATAAATGTAACCTGTTTCAGCACAGACTGATATTAAAAATACTGATTTTCAAACCCAAGGCTCACTCCTAAGGAATACATTCAGTTCATCTATTAATTCTGACAGTTAATCAGGACGATCCAAAATACAATTTTCCTAATCAACTCTACTGCATATTAATCTATACCCCTTCCCCTCTGTAACTTGCTTAAAATATAGCTGGGTAAAGTGTCAACATTCTGAAAAAACCCACAATAACAGTATTTCCTGTATTGACTGGATACACACACAGAACTTAGCTTAGTACAACAATTTATCACACTTTCTAGTATGTGATCACATACTTGCTTTCTAGTAAGTGATAACAAATAGCATAGGCTCAGGAACTGCAGGTAAGCCACTGGTACAGTGGTCTGGCTTTCTCCTCAGCCAGCTCTATACAGCCTTTTAATTATCCTCTGGTGCAGCCTGCTCAAACTATCTTATCAGCTAAAACTTTTACATGGGGTGCTATCTCAGTAATGTTCTTTGTGGTAGGCCATTACAGCTTCACCACGTTAACTGTGGTGATAACCTACTTGCATTTGATTGAGAGAGAGAGAAAGGAAAAAAGGTAAACCTTCAGCCACCTCTTCACAACACAATCTTTTGCTGCTGAATAGTGGTGCAACACATTCCTCGATCTTCCTCTTACCATAATGTTAGTTAAATGGAGGGGTTTTTAAAGCCTCTGAAATTTCTTGATTCTGCTTTCTCATTTTCACTCTTGTCTTTCTGTTTAGCTCTGCACACTCAAGTTTCCCCCTTCTCTATTCTTAGTAATTTGACAACGAGCACAACTTTTAAAACAGACTCTGAACTCCATACAGTCATTTTCTCAGTTCCTTATATGTGGGAAGCATTAGAGCTAGTAGAGCTATCTCTATCCTTTCAACATCCAAACCACTCATATTTCTGAAAGTAGGAAAGAGCACAGAAAAGCACATTCAATAAGGACAGAAATTGCAAGACAAAAGGGGATAGATAACACACAGAACAAGAAAAGTAATGTGGATGGGAAACGACCAGACTGTGTTGGGGTTAAGTATACTGCAAGATCAGAGGGAACAACAAGCATCACCTTCCTCCTACTTTCAGTCAGGCAGATGCTGTAGGTGGCTTTTCTCAGGTCCTTCAACTGTGATTTACAGAAAAGAACAGCATACCAGACACATTTTCTAAAATACAGTGAAGTATGGGATACAGGAAAACTGATATCTAATAAAAAGCATACAGCCCATTACTGAATGCTTGCCTCCTTGGTGTACAAGTAACTTTTACTAGTTCAATCTGTCCTGGATCAAACTGAACAAAACATTAGCCTTTGTTAAAGGTGCAGGTGAACAGCCACCCTACTTACTAGTCTTTTCAAGCCACTGCACCACCTAGTAAGTCAATTACCATTTTTAAAAATTTTAACAGAAGAGCACAATTAAGCACTGGTCATTCTCAACTGAAAAGTGCTCTTCAAGCCATTCTCCGTGGAACATAGCACTGACCTTTTCTGAGGTTACAAGTCTCAGATTATAGTTTTCCTCCATTAATATGAGACTGCTAGCTCCTCTGACATCAACAGCACTAGCCTGTTCCAGCATAATCATCTGACTTACTTGGAAGTTGATCTCTACTACAATCCCAATTCTGTGTGAGCTAGAGGCATTACATTTGACAGCCTTGTTACATGGTACCCCTACTCACCAGTGTTTAACTTGTGATACTTCCACAAAGGCCACTATTACAAAATGTGTTTATAATGACAGAAGCCTTGGTATAAGTTTCCTGAATCCCTGACAGGACTGTCCTTAAAATGGACAAATTCTTTCACAGTTACTCTTTATTGTTATGTTCTTAGATAAAACAGAGATAAATTATACAGTGTTTATAGGGATATTACCACACAAAACTCAACTCTCCTACACACTAAACTTGAATTTTCTGTCACGCACCTTTGGTGTAATAAAGAAGTACTGAGATGTGCTTTCTCTACAAGCAGTTTTCACGACCATTTCAAAAACTCTTCTCTCATTCACTGGATCCATTCCCTAAAAGAAAAAGAAAACATCTGTTCTCTCCACAAGGTCATAATCACCTGTATAATCAGAGGTTACATACTGCATTATTGATCCTCACCTGATTTATTTCATCTACAACCCTGAAAGGACATCTGTTGAGTTCCTGTAGAGCCATCAGGTACAACATAGTGGAAACACTTTTCTCACCTCCACTCTGATGATATGGAGTCAATTCATGAAGTTCAGTGCTACTGTGGAATTTTACTCTAATGCGAATCCCGTACTTATCGTACTCCTCCTATAAAAAGCCAGTACCTGTTAAATTAAGTTTCTCCGTACTACAGCTTATTTGATAATGACATGCAAATTAACGGAAATTTACATCAAATGTCCTACAGGGTTCTACTCAGGTTCAGTTTAATATCAATATATTAATTCTATTTCATATATTTTCCTTAACACTAATCTGTTCTTGTTAGATAGAAAATTTTCAATATCACTTGCTCCCAGTGACAATGATTTGCTAATTTTTGAATCCTTGGTAAGAAAGAATTCACACATATTAAGAACAGTAACAAGAAAAAAAAATGTTTGGCTAGAAAAAAGGAGAAAGCAATACCCCTCTCTTTTATCAGAAAAAATGCATTAGGGTACATGATGATATCAGTTAGAACAGTGCAGTGGTGGTGTGTGTGTAGGTTAAGATCATAGGGTTGGAAGAGACCTTAAAGATCATCCAAGTTCCAAACCCCCTGCCATGGGCAGGGACGCCTTCCACTAGACCAGGTTGCTCAAAGCCTCATCCAGCCTGGCCTTGAACACCTCCAGGGATGGGGCATCCACAGCTTCTCTGGGCAACCTGTTCCAGTGTCTCAGCACCCTCACAGTAACATATTTCTTCCCAATATGTAACCTAAATCTACCCTCCTTCAGCTTATAACCATTACCCCTTGTCCTGTTGCTACACTCCCTGATGAAGAGTCCCTCCCCATCTCTCCTGTAGGCCCCTTCAGGTACTGGAAGGCTGCTATTAGGTCTCCTCAGAGCCTTCTTTTCTCCAGGCTGAACAACCCCAGCTCTCTCAGCCTGTCCTCATATGAGAGGTGCTCCAGCCCTCTGACCATCTTTGTGTCTCTCCTCTGGACTTGATCCAACAGTTCCATGTCTTTCTTACGTTGGAGGCCCCTCATCTGAACACAGTACTCGAGGTGGGGTCTCACTAGAGCAGAGTGGAGGGGCAGAATCACCTCCTTTGACCTGCTGGTCATGCTTCTTTTGATGCAGCTCAGGATAGAGTTGGCTTTCTGGGCTGCAAACACACATTGCCAGACCATGTTGAACTTTTCATCAACCAATACCCCCAAGTCCTTCTCCTCTGGGCTGCTCTCTATCCACTCTCTGCCCAGCCTATATTTGTGCTTGGAATTACCTCGACCCACATGCAGGACCTTGCACTTGGTCTTGTTGAATTTAATGAGGTTTGCACTGGCCCACTTCTCCAGCCTGTCCAGGTCCCTCTGGATGGCATCCCTTCCCTCCAGAGGGTTGACTGGTTGACTGCACCACACAGCTTGGTGTTGTCAACAAACTTGCTGAGGGTGCACTCAATCCCACTGTCCGTGTCTCCAACAAAGATGTTAAAACAACACTGGTCCCAGTACTGACCCCTGTGGAACACCACTCATCACCAGTCTCCACTTGGACATTGAGCCATTGACCACAACTGTGAGTGAGACCATACAGTCAATTCCTTATCCAGCAAGGGGTCCTTCCATCGGATACGTGCCTCTCAACTTAGAGACAAGAAATTCATGAGGGACAGTGTCAAAGGCTTTGCACAAGTCCAGGTAGATGATGTCAGTTGCCCTTCCCTTATGCACCAGTGCTGTGGCCCCATCGTAGAAGGCCACCAAATTTGTCAGACACGATTTTCCCTTGGTTAAGCCATAATGGTTGTCACCAATCACCTCCTGGTTTTCCACGTCCCTTAGCATAGCATAATCTGACTGTGTAGGTAACAAAACAACTGAAAAGTCCATGCTTTAATGTCCTGTTTCATAATACTAGTTTCTATGTAAACATTTTTATGCAGCTCATGTAAAGAGCCTTGTCAGTCACTATTCTGTCCCCAATAGTAACTACCACTCAAATTATTTTAAGAAAAGCTGTTTGAGTAATTTACAACGGCAAAAAAATGTTTGTCAGCTTTCACTACTGTGTAGTCTGTGCATTACATATGAGAGTCTTAAAATCATAATTACAGAGATCAACTTAAAACAAAATACCCAATTTCTCTTCAGCGCACCGCACTGAAGATCTCTCTAAGGCACTACTGATGCTTTAAACAATTCAGAGGTAAACACTATCTATAAATGTTACTGAAGGCATAACAGGCTGGGCCAAATGATTCCTACTTCCAGAACAGACAACATGCCAACTGACTTAAGTAGAAACTACATGTAAAATAAATCAATACAACACTTAATAATAGTCAATTTAGTCACTAAATGATAATAGAATAGCATAAACTAGCTAAAAAATGTAAATTAAAATCACTAACCTAGTAAGTCTGAGTTACAGCTAAAGTAAATACAATGCTTCTAACTGAGCCCTGTGAGTTGCAAGAAGCTTCCAAAAGTCAATGAGCTGAAGTCCTATGCATCTGGACAAAGACTTGTTTTCCTTTAATCAGATTGCTAAGTCAGTTCTAACACCAAAAGTGTGTTCACCAGTAAGAGTTCTTAATTTTTTTTAAAAGAACATCTTTCCTACAATCCAAATGACAACTTGTTATTTTTGTCTCTAGCAATATACAAGCAAAACATGATGCATGAAAATATGAATGTTATTCTTCCATATGAAAAATAACTCTTACCTCATTTTCCACATGAGGATCGACTTCACCAACACACTGCATAGAACCAAAGAAGCTACTGAACTTCTCATTAATTTGCTCAATCAGCCTTTTCAAGGGGTTTAGCCATCTTTCTTTGACCTAGAAGTAGACACATCCATGTAAAATAATTTTTAATAACTGAATTTTCCTTTAGATAGCATTTAAATTAAAAAATATTGCAGTTATGGAAGCTAAGGTGTCAGTTTACACTCCAGACAACCGGGAATGTTACCCTTTATTTCTGGACACACATTCTATTCAAATCAAGACGTACTGATACAGAAGTGATAATTTCAGCTATTACCTGTGAAATGTTTTGCTTATAGTTATCCAGTTCCTTTTTCTTTTCCTCTAGATATTCTGTCAACTGCTGTATTTCTTGGGTCTGCTTAATGTATTCTTCAACAACCTGCCAGAATAAAAAAAACAAGCAGCCAAGAAAACATTTGCCAATTCTAACCTTGACTGTAAAAATATCACACTGCACTGATCTGTTCAAACACAATTATATATAATATTGCACTGCACAATGAACGTTTTAGCTTTAAAGCAAAGAAACTGTAAAGCATTGCTTATTTCAGGTTACTGCAACTTTCTTTTTTAAAAAAAGCACAGAACACACTGTTCTTTTGGAAGAATATACTTAAAATTCTAATAGATGCAGAATCTGGCATTTACAGGACATTGTTTCCGTTGTCTAGCTTATTATACCAAGAGATATAGCACAGAGTGGGAAGCAAGTACAATAATGGGTGGTGGAGGAGGAGAGAGGAAGGGTGGAGGGAAAGCAGTGAACATACCAAAGCATTCAGGCCTGTGAAACAGGAGACCCTGGTTTTCTCTTCATTCAAAAATGCATCAATTTCCTCCAACGTGGTCGGAAGAGACTGAAAAGCCTACAAGAGAACGGATGCATGTGTTACACAGCAATGCTAATGAAGGACTCAAGTTTGCTAAAAACAAATCAAATAAGCCATAAAATATTCTATTACTTTTAATCCGGATGTCACGTACCCCAAATTTAACACAGCAAGATTCCCTCAAACTATCCTGCACAGAGAAAGAAGGCTAGAAGTGCTACTACATAACAAAGATACACAATTAATTGCTCCTTAGTTGCCTACCTTGTGCAGGTATGGATGCTCACAGACTTGGTACAAGCCAGGGGCTATGCTAGTTAAAGCCATGCAAATACTTCTAGAGGCTGGGAAGACCTCCAGGTAAGCAGGCAGGCTGAGATTTCAGTTCTTTTGTGTTGCTCCAATAGAGCAAGAAACAAGAAAAATATGGCCTCTAATTATTTCTATGGACACAAGACTATGGATTTTAATAGAAATTTCAGATCAAATTTTCTCTTTCCCATGCACAGAACAAAGTGACAGAAGATACCCCAGAACTATTTAAAGGTTCTTTAAAAGGGCAAGCAACAACAGATGAGTCAACACTAACAGAAGCACACATGATCCTTTACTGGTAGCCTTCTATTACAAAATATATAATATTATTTTCTGGAGAAGTTAGAAGGGTGTACATAATCCAAAATTTAAGAGATATGTGGAGATTTGTTCTTGTACATACAGTTTGAAATTCTTTTGGAAGCTGTTGATCTGGACTCAGTTTGCAGATCTGTCGAGCTTTTTGCAGCAATTCCTTGCAGTTCTCTGTAAGAACTCGCTTCCTATCACCCAGTTCATGAAATTGTTGCTGTTAGAAAAGATATTAAAGATATTGAAATACAAATTTTTTTTTTTTTACTTTATTACAAATTTCCAGAGGTGACACTAGCACACTGGCAACAAACAACATCCGAATCGGAGAATGTATGTGAAATCAGACTGCTTAAACATTGACAAATCTTTGTTTCAACACACCCAACTCATTCTGCCTTGCTGCTTGAAGTCAACAGATGCCAAGGTAAACTGATCAAAAGCATGTTCTTGTAACATAGCTAAATTTATTTTCTCTCAACTAGACAAATGTGCACGTAGATTCAATATATGTCTCAAAATAGACTCTTCACAGGAAATTCCCTATAAGCCAAAACACAACTCCTGCAAGCCTTATTTTTTATTAGCTCCCATTTAACTGTATTTATCTGCTTGGGAAAACACAGTGGACATGATGTACACTGAATGGCATTTTAGCTGAAATTTTACAGAGTAAATGTCATAATTACACAATCAGAAGTACTCCCTTGGCTGTTCATAGTCTACCTCTGTAATACTGCCAGCAAAATACAAAATGGAAACACACAATTTTTAAACTACTGCTGAAACATAAGTGAAAACCAGGTACAATTTCTGGCTTTGAACAGTGGTCTCAAGGCTAAACTCTTTGGAACCTACTACAGGTAAGTGGCCAACCCAGCCCTATGACTTGTATAATGCAATGCTATCACAACACTAGTTAAAATACAATACACAAAATAATACCTTCATGACACACTGAGCTAAAGACTATCTCAAGTAAGCAGTATTCAGGTAAATAAACTTGGAGAGCCTTAAGTGTTCCTACACTTGGGAAAGCTTTATCTTCCCAAGTTCTATTGTTGTGTACTTCAGTTAAATATGTGAGTCCTTCAGTGGCAAAAAAACCCTTAAGTGTTCATTTGGAGATTATATAGTTATATAAATGTTTATTCCACATTTTAAAAATACAGAACATAGACACTGATAGCAACTCACATTACTTTCTGGTAATTTAATTAATCTTTATTTACTAAATACAACAGAAGTAGTAGTAACAGATATGATCATGAATGATCATCAGCGGAGTTCTCACACTCACTCAAGAATTAGGGCTGCTGTTCTCTACAGCATGTACCAACTCAAAAATCCCATTTTTTTTTCCTTCCTTCCTTCCTTGCTTCCTTCCACCAAGCATTAGGAAATAGATTTTGCGTTAGAGGTAAGCATTTCACAATCTTCACAAACACACTGTATATATATTTTTCCACACTGTGCTGATGTTTTCAGAATGGTAAAAAAAACCCCAAAAAACGGAGAAAGACCTTCTTAAGATTTCCCCCCCACACACTCCACTTCATAAAGTCTATAGCAGAGAAGGAGGGAAATGTCACATGGGTGCAAGAAAGACTGACATTAGAGCTACACAGATCAAACAGCAGTAAGTGGGAGATGGCCTGCCTTTTGTTTACAGCCAAGATCTTATGTCATTCTGAATTGCACAAATGAAAATGTACACCACAGCACTTATGTCCCATTGCCTATCTGCACATGCCCTATAATACATTCAATAATTTTTTAGGAACATTTTAGCAAGTTCTACATTAAAACTTGACAGTGTTTTGGATCCCAGAAACTCAAAAGCCAACTGGCTTCATCTGAAATGTGTTGGACCTCATGATAACAAAGGCAAAGGATCCAGTGAAAGGCAACACACCCACACTTTCTTATACAAGAAACATGAATTTTATACTTATGTGTTTGACCATTTCCAGAGCCAGTCAATTCTAAACAATCTCAAATGGGGAACCTCAGCTCTCAATTGTACATGAAACTCCCACTTGAAACCCTGCACAGCTCCACAAAACAAGATTTCAGGTTGATCTCTAGGCACTGAAAATCTGAAATAGATTCAACATTGAATATGCCTGACCCAAGGCTATGGCAAGTTAAATTCTTCAGGGTGTAAAAAGGAAAATACATGTTTGGGCAGAGGAAAACTGCACCATTCAACAGGAAGACTGGGAAGCAATAGACATTTGATGCAGTTATGAGACACATACTAGAATAAATGCACAGACAGTTCAATGAGAAGGTTTTCATTCAGCTTTGCCAGTTAACTGTCATGGCCACATGCTAAAAAAAAGTTATCTAAATGTAAATAAAAAAAATACACAAGTTTTGACTCCTCTCATATATATCCAAAAGTGCATGACAATGTTAAGATTCATGTTGACTTCCTAAAGGTGTCTCAATAAAACCCATCTGGACAAAAAAGCCTTAAGTAGAAAGAATTACCATTTTGAACAGAAGTGTTACCATGAAAAATCATAGCCTAGACTGAGCTTTACATTTGTTTCAGCCAACAGCTTAAGAGCCAGCTTGGAAAGAGCTTTATCCAGGTCCTTCAGCAAAGTTCTGTACTAGTGCAGGGCTGCAATTACAGCTTCCTGAAAGGCATCTACCAAACAGCAGAAAGCAATTATATTCTGCATGCACAAGCAATTTGTATTCTGTTGTGCTCATCAGCACTGCAACTGGTTTTGTGCAAAATAAGAAGCTGCTTAAAGAAAATATAGTTACCAGTAGCCAATGTTTTCTTGGGAATTTGTGTTTGAACGCATGCTTGGGGACAGCATTTAATTACTTGAAGTTTGGAAAGTCATAAATAGAAAAACAGAATCTGCATTTTCTTAAAACTTGGCTTAAGGACCAAATGCTGTACATACTGAGTATTAATACCATTTATTTAAACAAATTTACACAAAATGAACCTGAAGATTAACAAGCTATCAAAGCAAGACAATTAGCAAGACTCTTTCAAACAACCATCACAAACATGCAGGCAATTATCTAATGAGCAGATGGGGCTAACAATCCTCCCTCATGTTCAGTATGGGTCACAAACACAGATTCACTTCTTGGGCTCATTAAATAAATTAAATACAAGTAGTTGTTAAAATAACACTAGGGTTCCCACTTGAACGGCAATGACAAAATACAAACCCCGTAAATCTGTTGTTGCTAACTTGACTTGTTTAAAAACCAAGTACTTTTTTGGCCTTTCCACTTAAGTGGTTAAAAAAACCCCACCACAAAGCAACAAACATGCTGCTCTCTCCACAGTATCCCAGGGCCAAGACCTCATAAAAAGAACATATGTGATCTCTTAAAATGGGGTTTGTCTTTGCTTGAAAATCTTAATTAGATATTTACTCAGGCATTATATAAAGACTCAAGATTGCTTGGGAGATAAATGCCATGAGTAAGCACTAAGAATTAACAAAGTTTCATAGCTTCCTTGGCTGATACCAACCATTCCAATTTCAATAAATGTATCATAAGCAAACACATGACCTACAAAAATGTCTGATAATTAAAGAGAGAACTAATGGTCCCATAATTGTAACATTAGGCTCTGATTTAGTTCACTACACAGCTTTTGTACAACACACTTGTTTCTGTTTGGCTTCCTCCTTTTTGCAGGTTTATTTTATAAAAACAAGCAGCGACTTTTTGAAGGACTTCAAAGTGTTGTGATGGCATCCTTATGGGCAGCTTTGAAGCAAGACAACCTTAACACAATACTACTGTAGAAAAAAATTTATCACAGGCAAAGCCACTAAGAAGTTGGAGGGAAGGGCCAACTTAAACACACTATTTCAAACAACATTTAATTTGAGATAAAGCTAAGAAATACTGAGTTTTCCCCCTGAAAGTGCATCTCTTAAGGCAGAAAATAAGAAATAAACCACAGAGTGTACAACATACATCATTCACAAGGCAATACAGGAAAGACAAAAAAAATGGGTGCTAAAGACTTAATTCAAAGACTCAACATACAGTATATGTGGAAGCAAGGCTTAGGACTTCCATGTATAAGAAAATTTAAGATGCACTTGAATACTCAGAAGTCTTCCTCCAGAGTAGTTGAACTTCTCAAAATTTTAATCACTGGGATTACTGATTTCAGAGTTTTTTTTCTGTTTTAATGTTCTTAGAATCAACCATCCAAAATAAAAGCTCTGTTATTATTTCCTCTGCTTATGTGGTTGAATGTAAGCTAGTGACAACTACTAATGAGACCTCAGCTGACTCAAACACCTTTTCACTAAGGAAAGAGGCAATTTTTGTTTAACCAAGAATTATCAGAACGTTCACCTTACAAGTCCTGTCTACTGATCTGACCAGACATCTATCTATGCACCAGCCAGAATAGAGAGAACTGAAAACATTAAATAGATTTGCCGGTGATGATACACACTACTCAAATGAGGTTCACGGTTTTGTAATACATTCTTACTCCTTACTAAGCTCCATCAATAAAGAAATTTTCATTGGATTTTGATAAAGTCTGAATAACAGCTGCATGATGCGAGAGAACTGATGCAACAGTGATTTTCCATGTAACACGCTGACTTGTTTCTTTTTGGTCCTCTTAAGAAGCTCTCGTCTTCCTAATTTTCCTGCAAGTGATGATACCCATAACCTCAAGTGGTTTTCTAAATACATACCAAGGTCATTCTTTTTGGAAGTACATATCCATCCAAAATACTTACCTTTTGAACTGTTTTCCAATTTAACAGTAAGTCTTTTTCTTCTTGTGGATCAAACTGAATTAGCAGTAGGTTATAGTTAACCCAACTTCCAAAATAAGGAAAAAAACTTACCATCCTGTACTTTGACAGTTTTTCCCCCAGTAGACTGAAAGACTGTACAACTACACAAATACAAAAATTGGCCTCTATGCATTGACCCATGAGAGATCACAGTATCCTTTGCTCTTAGAAAAGAGTACTTGTCTGTGGAACTAATTCCTCAGAGGCTGTCTTTTTACCTGAACACAGCATAGCTATGTGCTCATAGTATGATCAATAGAAGGACTGTTTATCCTCCTTTCTGTCCTCCAAAAAGGCATTTAGTAACAGTAAGAGAAAATAAGGTATGAAAGAAATGTAAAACAGCTCTGCCCTACGCTGATACAGTATTTTCTGGTACATCTCAAGCTTGCATCTCCTGTGTGGGTTGAGACTACTTGTCTGTGACAGACTCGGAAGAAAAAAATAATACTTTCGAACAACAGCTTGCCTTTTTACACATATGCATTGCAATAAAAAGATCCAGGACATGATGACTGTCCTGGACATTTTCACAGCTTAGCTGTCTTAATTGAAGAAGGCAAAGCTCCTATTCAGCTCTAAAGGAAGAGGCTGAAGCCAAACTACAGAAATTAAGGCTAAACATTTAGCAATACTAATACCCATTTCTAAACAAAGACACAGAAGCATCCTTTCCTACACCATAAAGTGTCCACAGAAGATATTTTCATAGTAGATGTCGCAGTATTCATAGAAACGGTTACCTCTGCAGCTGTTAGCTGTACACTTGCTGCTTTATACTCTGACTCTAGTTTGTTCTTCTCAGCAGCCGCTGTAGTGCTCTGAAGAACCAAATCAGCTTTGAGGATGTTCTGTGATATGCAATTCTAAATAGGAAAACAGAAAAAAGTAATTTTTTTCCACAAGAGACTAAAAACATATAAAATCACTGATCAGTCTTGAGAAACTATCAATTTTTTTGTCATAGCATACAACCTCAGTGTTCAGCCCTTCAACACTGCTGTCTGACAGATTCAATGAAGAAGAAAGGTGATTTACTGGTGACCCAAGCTCTTCAAGATGTATAGTCCCCAGGTACCTTTAATCTGTAGGCACAGACGTGTCACTTGCAACTGAATAAGTTTAGACCACAAAAGCACATTCTACATATACTCAAATGTGAAATGTGAGACAAGACAAAGCCATCTCAGTTCCTTCTCAGAGACAGAATACAGCAGGTGGATTTCAGTGAATTTCATAAGTCACACACAGAGATGGAAAAAGGTCAAAAAATAAACACATAAGATACATGTCTCTCTCACTGACAATGCAAGATGACTGACTGGATGGACAGTGACTCTAGTGTCTTGTGTCTTAACTGGAACAGTGTAGGATAACAGAAGGAGACTCAATTTTGGAAGTTTCCCAACAGGCTTTAGTGATCCCCAGAATCTGGTTTGACAACTCTGACATTAAAAGAGTTGCTTCTTTAAACAAGTCAGCCTCAGGAATGGTCTAGAGGCTTCAAAATCAGCAATGCATTCTTCACTGTGTGAAGAGTAGCTTCAAATCTCAAATTATGGGGCATTGAGAACACCACTTTACCTATTTTTTTAATGATCAGCATATAAATACAAAAGAATCCTCTCTGTTAATCAAAGGGAGGACAAGGTTCCAACTATAAACTTAGGGGATCAGCAGGATGAAGTTTTGAGAGCGTTAGCTTCTGACCACAATAGTGAGCCAAGGTTTGACATATCTGCTCTTTTGTTGTTTCAACACAAAGTTTCTACAGTGCGAACTTGTAGAAGTAAGTTTAGTTGTTTCCAATCCACCTACATGGATTAAAAACAATTATCAGAGAAGTAAACTGCAAAAAGAAGTTGTAACAAAAGGAGATGAAAAATGTAAAAAGTTAAGATTATTGAAAGACAACAGCACAAAGAGAACTACAAGGAAAAGCAGTGAAAAGTTGAAAAGGTTGTTTCTGTCAACTGGTTGTAAAATATTGACGCGTATTAGGTAGGTGACTGGTACACTCTGCCTTGCGTATTTGTGTAAATATACATGCAGCCTATCACTGTAGTTGACTGTTCCACACAAGCCCCAGAACTCTTAAAAAAGCAAATCATATTTCCACCATGCAAACACACAAAAATCCCATATATGTTTTAAATTTTCTTCTGTGGCAGAAGTGAATATGCCTCAAACATACAACTACTTAAGTTTTTATCACTTTAATAGTCTACACGTAGTATAACTAGAAAACCTATTGAGGAAAGCATAAAGACTCCTACAAACTTGGAAGAATTCATGAAGTTTTGGTTTAGGGACAACCAATGAAATGTATGGATTTCAACAATTTTGATAAAACATTATAATGAATGTTATAATAACATCATTCATGTAGCAGACATTTTTCTTCTCTTCAGTATGTACTTGCATATGTTTCGCACAGCACGCAAAGCGTGAAAATCAAGCTGATACACAACTGAAATAAACCTGTCTTGTAACCAGTAACTACTGCAGGCAAATACCATCCGTCCTCCTCTGCAAGCCTGATGTACTGAGAAATGCACAATACGTCCCAAATCTGTTTTCCTATATTGGATGTAAAAGGTATTCTGACACTCCTTCAGGCAGGTCATACAGCAGTCAGTAAACAACTTCAACTCCAACAACAACACACTTGGACAGTTTAAGTAATAGGAAATGGGCAAACACAAAAATCAAAAGCATATTCTAGAAATTCCAGTTTTAAGTACAGAGCATTAGCACAAGTTTTGAAAAAAGCTACCTTAGAGCACTGTTACAACCTGCACAAGTTCTGTAAGTTCTATAAAGTAATCTATAGCCTAAGCAACCTTTTTAATGTGGCAGGTGTCTTCTGCCATTCTTTGTAATTTTAAAAATTGCTTTGGCCAGCTGACCCAAAGGTCATTTCAACCACTCCAGTTGTTGCAGTCAACACCTATCCACAAACAGAAACAGCCCACTCATTTATTATTTTGCTTTATTTATTAGAAAAATACCAGCAACTGAAGTGTATTGAAATCAGCCTACCTTCAAAGGTAATACTCAACTCTTTCAGGGGTAAGCAAGAACACATTTCAACATCAGTAAAGCATTGCAAAGGAACAACATACATGGACAAAGTGGTTGCAAAATAGCACCTTTTCTTGCAGAGTGCAGAAGAAAAAGCAGATTCCCTTGGAACTAAAAGTAACTGCTTCTTGTTCCTTAGTTATTAAAAAAACAACCTAAGAAAATTCACCTTGTGGCAGGTGCCATTATTAGGGCTTACAGGCTAAGCTAAAGCAACAATTAAATCCAGACTGTTTTCTTCTTTTTTTGAGTTAAAGAAAACCTCATGACATTGGAGCCTGAGACTCGAGTACTTTTCCCATCCTAGCTGCCCTCCATAATCATGGGTCCGTACAGTTACAGGTCATTTTTTCACATCTATAATGACTACTCTTTGTTTCAATAGAAGAAAAAAAAAAAAAAAGATTATGAACTACAATGGAAGGAATAGTTCATAGAATTATGTGGTATTCTGAAAATGTACAGGCTGAAACAGTTACACAGTTCATTTCTACTTCACTCCTGTACTGAGTCAGACCATGGACTGCAAGACTACAGTCACTGAGAGTCTACATAACGCAAGCAAATGATCTACAAATCGAATCAATGACAGAAGAACAAGTTCAAGTTCATAAAAGCTTCAAAGGATGTTTACCTTGAAGCAAGTTAGCTTGTAAACATTTACAGTAACACATCCAAGGGTTGCATACCTCATACTTAAGGTACAAGAATTGGACTTTTCACAATACTAGAATATATACCAAGTTGAAAATACATACCTTTATGAGATGCATTAATTCAGCAACAAGTCTTGCTTTCTGGATGTTTATTTCTTTGATCTTTACATTTGCCTGTTGAGATTCTTTCTCTAGGTCAACAGCATCTTGTTCCAGTTGTCTTAAACTACGTCAAGAATCAATATTTGATTAATTCTGATTAAAAATAAATTGTACAAAAATAAAAAAATTCTTAATCTTGGTGATGAGTTAGTAGTTAGCAAGAATAGGAATTTGTATACCTAAACACTCCAAACACATCAGAGGCATTCCCAATCTATGCACTTTAAACCTAAGAAATTCAAAAGACAAAAACTTCAAAATTTTAGAAACTCTGACTTTGGCTACTAAGGGCATCACTCAGCAACACTCCTTTACTTCTATAAATTTCAGATTAAAAAAACCCATTAGTGTAAGAATGACATTTTTCTTCTGCTGCTCGTTCCTTGCAACAATACAACATAGAAGGGTGCAGAAGGTTTGCATGCTTGTTATATATACTAGTAAAAAAAAAAGTGTCCTCAACTTACTGCAGAAAAACAGAATTTTCACTCATTTTAAACCTCAAAAACACATAATTAAAATTAACTAACTATGAAAAAATAATGACGTTTAGTGAGCTGCAAAGTATTTTTAGATCTTCAAAAATGCCCAAACAGGCCAAGACGATGACCCAGGAAGCTACAAACTGATTATTCTTACTTTGATCCCTGGAAAAATTGTGGAGCAAGTCCCCTTGGAAAACAATGCTAGGGGCATAAGGGAGAAGTTGATCAGGAAGAATCAGAAAGCATTTACCAAGGCTACATCACACCTGATGAACCCAATTGTAAAACAGCTGGATAACAGGAGATCAAGTGGTTCCCATTCACCTCAAATTTACGAAGGCTTTCTGTCAGAGGAGAGGGCCTGCTTGTTTGTGGTGTCAGCAACTGGAGAGACTAGACTGAGTACACTTCAGTGACAGCCACCGGAGAGGAACCACAGGTCAGTGGCCCATGTGTCCATGGTGCCACCACCTGGTATGAGTGCAGGTGTGCGAGTGCTTGATCCCTAGCAAAGACCAAGCCAGACCAGCTGGCGAGAAGGTGAAGTGGCCTGGGAGCCAAGGGGGTATGCATGTCACCAAGGGTGAGACCACAGGAGGAGATGCCTATTGGATGGACCAGGGCAATCCAGCCTTGTTGCCAGAGACCATGAGGTCTTCTGTCTCTAGGGGTGAGACATGCTGGCATGTGTATGTATTTAAGGGTAAGATGACACGGGTACTGGCTACTGAAGGGGACTAGGGCAGTCTCTCTGCCCTTTTGTATGCCTGTATTGTCTCTGAGGGCAAGACCAGCGTTGGCTACTGGGAAACCAGGTAGTCCCAGTGAGTTCTGCATGCATGTGCACATATGTGAGTGAAGCATCCTGTACAGGCAATGGAAGCAGGGCTGCAGCCTTGGGGGTTTGCATGTACAAGTACCAGCAACTGGAGGGGCTAAGGTCCACAAGCAGCTACCGTGCAGACTCAGAGTGCCTGGACTCAGCTGCTGATGAGATACACATTGCCCATATGTATGCATAGGAGTCTCACTAGGGGAGCCCTGTCCTGCTCACACAGGGTAGGAACATGAGGCGGCCATTGATGCTGTGTTTGCCCAGTTGCTCTGTGTGTCCATTGGTGCTGTGTGGCTGGTTGTATGTAAATATGTACACACGTGCTGTTTAGATGTGCTCTGTGTGAATGTGTCTACTGGGAAAACAGGCTCAGCCTCACTACTGGTTGCACCTGGGAGCACTCAGCTGCATCAGCCCCACTTTCCTCTCAGGCTGCTGGATCCAGACCCATTCCCCTAACTTTTTCAATGCCGTCTCCCACAATATTGTTGTACTGAAGTTGGAAGACTACAGTCTGTATGGATGGAAGACTAGATAGGTAAAAAAAGAAAGCGGTTGGATGGTCACACTCAGAAGGTCATGTTTAGTCTGTTGCATTCTGCCTGGAGGCCAGTATCAAGTGGGGTACCACAGGATTAAGAAGTGGACCCGTCCTGCTTAACATCCCTGTCAGCGACACGGACGAGCCGACAGAAGGCACTCTTGTCAAATGTTCAGGTGACACTGCACCGGGGGCACAACGGGCCTGCACTCACACCAGGGGTCTGCTGGGGTTGGAGGAAGGGGTCCACAGAAGGCTCATGAGATTCAGCAAGAACAAACGCTGAATCCTGCCCCTGCAAAGAAAGTGGGTCTGGAAGCGATAGAGGCTCAGGACAGGCTGGCTGGGGAGAAGCTCTGCAGGGAAGGACTTGAGGTACTCTTGGACAATGAGCTAAAAAGCCTAAGTCACCAGTGCGCCCTGGCAGCAACAAGGTCTCCCAGCATCTTTGGCTCTATGAATGGAGGCACAGGTGGAGAGTAATTTCCCCTCTCTGTTCATCACTGCACCCAGATTTGCCCCCTGTCCCCATCATCAACAAACTGGAACAAACCTGAAAGCAACCAAGATGGTAAGGGGCTACAGCACAGGTCCTGCAAGAACAGGATGAGGGTGGTCAGCTTGTTCACCCTGGACAAGAGACAGCTTCGAGGCACCTAACAGCATGCCCTCACTATGCTTTGCACAAGGAAGCCACTGATACGATGGAACCAGGCTCTTTTAAGAGGTGCATCACAGAAGGGTGACAAGACAGCAGGCCTAAGTTGAAACATGAAAGATCCAGACTGGATGTCAGTAGAAACCTCTTCCCCATAAGGACAGTCAAGCAGTGGAACACGATGTCCAAACAGATTGTGCAACCTCCATGCAGGCTTTCAAGACACAGTGGGATACAGCCCTGAAAACCTGGTCTGAATTTAGCGCTGACCTTGCTTTGAGAACGTGGCTGGACTACAGACTACAATGAAGTCCCTTCCAACCTAAGTGATTCTGTCATACACTAAAGCTGAATATAGTTTTGAAAGTATTCAGATAATCAGTTAGAAATATGAATATTTAAAAATAGTTATGCTCACTGCAAAGATTATTTAAATAATTTCTATCTCTACAGAAAGACATCCACATTATACAAGAAAATTTGTAACAGCCTTGTCAGTAATTGTGTCATGATTCTTGCCCCTATTCAAAATTAAGAGTGTAACTATTTTTTTTAAGGGAAGGATTTAATCAATATTTGTTTCAGTAAAGGGTCCACCTCCTGCCTTCAAACTGTATTCTAGTAAAACGTCATGACAATATTTGTATCCCTAATAAGAAACCTGAGAGCAATACCGGGCTTTGAGGCTATGCTCACATCCACACTGTTTAAAGCTGCTTCTTTTCACAGCAACCTGACACTTCTGACTATACAGCCTTTGATTCTGGCACCCTTAACATCCCTGCAGTCCTAGTTTTCTTTTTTTTTTTTTTTTCTTCTTACCAACACACTTTTCAGTTTAATGCACCATATATAACACAAGACCTGTGCACACGAGCACCAGCACCAACTTCTCAGATCATTAAAAGCAGGGTGGCATAAGAATATACAGGGTTATTTGAGGGCACAAGGTCTGGTCAGCCTGTGTTACACAAGTGGAAGGAGTGAAGCCTCAGGCAGTCTCATCTACACGGCCTTCTGGGAGTGTGAGCTTAAGTGAAATACCTCTTGAATCATGCCAAGGTTCTCCCTTATGACAAGGCAGTAACATAAGGACTAATTGCAGAGGCCCAGAAAACCAGAAAATACATTAAGACAAATACTGCAGCAATCAGGGTCCAACAGAAGCCCTGACATGTTGACTTAGTACCATTTATGTACATTATGGTACTACCTACATGTGTGCTACCAAGACAGAAGACTATGGTAATATTTGAGTAAATCAGTGCAATGATCCTATGATTTTATCACAGAAAACCATTTGGAACATTGTTTCTCAAATATTGTCTTAATCTCCATTTCTCAACATCTTCCTTGTCTTGATTATCACCTGTATTCGATGCTCAGCTACTGGCTACTTTGTAAAGGTCAAAGCACACTGCGCTAAGAGGAAGCCAAAATACCTTTGGTATTAAAATTGTTAATGTTTCATAGATAATACAGTTTGCTTCCTACCTATCACGCTTCACACTGATTTTTGACTCCAATTGTCTCCTCCTGTTCCCTCTCTCTAAAAGCTCCTTCTTCTGTTGCCTGAGGAAGTTGTCCCTACTTTCCAGGTGCTTCTGTCTCTCAAACAACACAGTCAAACGCATATCCAGTGACTTTAACATGTTATTGATATCCTGAAAGAAAATAATATACGCCATTAGCATTCTTACTACAAATGTACCATACTAACACATGCAAGTAGGCTATGATTATTGCGTAACAAATTGTGTAGTAGTTCACATCTTAAGCAGCACAGAAATAAATTCCTACCTGCTGCTGGTTTTCCAACTGTCTTCTTTCATCTGTATCCACTGAACTAGTGAGAAACTGTGGCACCCTCAGGGCTGTGTTAGTAGAAAGGGTCAGGTTTGTATAAGCAGATACTTTAACAACATATTTTTCTTCTGCTGTGTATATTTGCCTAAGTTTGGTTTCTTCTATGACCTAAAAAACGTACAAAAATATTAATCTGACATAAGCATTACTTAACACAATGCTTTTCAGAACAAGGAATAAACTAGCTAAAATCCACAATGAAGAACTTCAGCTTATGCAAGACTCTGATTTGTTAACCAGCCTTTGCAAAGCCATAATGCTAAATTTAATGCATCGTTATACCTGTAATCCAGACTGGTCAGCAAAGAACAGTTAAAATACTATCAAACAGATTATGTTACCATAATCAATTAAACAGGTTCTGATTATTCTGATATTACAGATAGACACTGGGAAAACCTGTTAATATTTGTACTGCATCATGACCAAGGATTGTACTTCCTGCACATGTATAACATGTAAATGTAGCCTGTGTACCAGTGAACCAAAAGTACTTAAGGAATTATTAGATTAAAACACAAGGTGAGCTGTAATGCATGAACTTTGGTGAAGCAAATGTATCTGCAGGAAAAAAAAGAGGCATAACAACACTAGAGTTACTACTTTTAAATGGCTCATGTGAAAAATGATATTTTGAACAACCAAATATTTACCATAATGCAAGGTAGTGTAGTACTTCAAAAGGATATAAAGTGTCCAGTAAACCAAGAACACCAAAAAGACTCCATAGGACAACATAAATTTGACCAAAGATTTTTTCAGATTATATACACAGCACCAATAATACTCTGTTGATTTGGCTCCTGGACACTGAAAACCACATTTCATAAAATCATTAAGGTTGGAAAAGACCTCAAGGATCATTTACTTTAATTTGCAGCTCAGACTGTGGTTGACAACATTTCCATCCCAGTTTTTTTTCCTGCATGCTCAGCTCCATGAAACAGGTCTCCTTTTAAGCTAAAGCTTTCTCTGGCATGTGTGAAACAAAATGTTGCAAACAATGCATTTCTCAATCAAAAATAATAAAAACAAAGAAAAAACTTCACACAACTGAACTGAGCAAGTGCCATGTGCAACACATTCAGAATAGAGGCTCATCTTTGCTCGTAGACCAGCAATTCTTCACTTGCTCCTGGGAGAGCTCTGGAAAGGAGGGAGTATCTAAGAAGTAAATCTGACTCGTGTATGAAATGTAACTCAAAGACCCATTATACAGGTAATCTGCTTCGTCAGGTGATAAACACTAAGTGGTGGAAGTATTGCAGTTTGAAACCAAAAATGCTTAGAAAAACATTAAGAGAAGAGCTTCTCATCTAGGACTACCTCCACTTTTACTTTTCCTTAGTCTTAGAGCCTCAGAAATACAGAAGATATCTCAATAAAACAGGAATTGTTCTCTATTCATGGAGCCTGTTCCATGAGTTTCTCAAAAAAACCCCAAATCTTACTGTTCTCAGAGAGCCCAAAGTAGTCTTCCGAATACAAAGAAGAGTTCACTCTCTGTACAAGATAGAGAACAGATGTCCAGCATAGATGGAGAAGTGAATAAGGATTTAAATTGAAAACTGTCATGTGTGTTACTCATTACAAACCAGCAATGCTGAGCTTGCAAGAACCCATGAAAGATTAAGGTTGGGAGATGACTTCTAGTGGGAGCTCTTAGCCTATGTCTAAGAATCCAAAAGATCTATATACTATTTAGCACATCAATTCTGACTGAAGCTATACACCTGTATTTGTCAGAAACTGAATATTTTAATGTATTTTTTAAAAAAAGCAGCTTCTAATTGTTGCTTTAAAGATGACAGGTCAGCATTGTAAAGTACTGTTTAATCCAAATCTTGCCCAGAATCTCTCAAACACAAAGTAGCAGTTACTGTAATAAAACAGCCTTATAACTGACTCGGAACAGTAGGCAGGTAAAAGATATATTTAACTTTCCGTGAAGTGTGGCATTATATCGACTGTTAAAATGTCTTGCAATATGTTTGTGTGTAATGAACAGTTTTTATTTCTAAAGGCCAAGTAAAAGGCTAAACCCATTTTTTGCCTTCTCTACACTAACTTGCCAAATAATTTCCAAAATAAAACTCTAGACCGCAGGTGTGTTTGTGCTATTTAGGATATCTCACCCTTTCAATCATGCCTCTGGTCTTCTCTGTTCCCACAGGGACATCATGAACACGGTACTGGGAGCAAAGGTAACTCATCACAGGACGAGGAGCATCAAATAACTCTCGTAAATATGAGAAAAATCCATACTGTCTGAAGAGGAGAAAAAAAGCATGCATCAGAAATAAAATTTGGCAGGTAAGCAAGCTGAAGTTACTGCAGGGTCAGAAAGAAGTCCTGATAACCCAGAATAGAAAATTTTGCGTGCACAGAAAATTACAATATATAGCAATTCCACCAAAACATTGTATTTAAAACTATTCCCCACTGATATAATCTGATACATACTGTAGTGCTTCAATAGGTCTTGAAGGTAAGCTTTCAGCACATGATTCAGCAGGTGCACATACAGCATTCACTCTTAGTCTCTGATGATCGCGTATCTAAATATAGGTTACATTAGATTATTTGGTAAAAAACAAGCAGAAAAATTCACTACATCCAAGTCAAGTATTTATTCTTGATTCACAGAACTGGCATTATTTCAAACTGACAGCTTCTGGAAGAACCCACAAAAATCCACTGTGGCGCAGACAACGACTGAGGTCTCTAAAATCCAAGCTCAGTTAATGTCTCTCCATGAAAACATGAAGCGTTGGAGAAAATAAAAGCAATCTGACAAATCCAGAGCCAGATGCTCAATCAAAATATCCAAGCTACATGTAATGAGAAGTCAGGCTGTATGGCCATTTTGCACAGAGAATGGCAAACCACTGGCTACAGAGGCTCTGAAAAGCCTGATTCTAACAGGGCACAAAAGACTGAGGATATAAATGAAAGGCTTGTTTAGCTCCTTAAAGCAGCCTTGCACTGGGTTGCACAACCAGAGGCAAGACAAACCCCCAGGACCTCAGATACTACCACTACCGTTCATATATATAAAAATTACTACCTTCTGTGAAGAGCAGATAGCTCTTCAAATTTCAGGACAGTTTGCCATTAATCATACTATTCTGTGGACAGTAGCTGGGAAGCATTATGACAGTTAATGCTGTATCTTGTGGCTTTTTTCTCCTGCGTCATCTGTCTGATCTCAAAGGGAACAGTCTCCTTATGACTCCAGGAAACAGCAGCATTAAGTAAACACAAGCTTGATTTGCTGCTTGGACTACCGTCGTCTCACAAAAGATGTCCTCTTGCCTGTTTAGTCAGGAGGTACTGCAAATGCTTTGTACTAAATTTGTACCTTCCTGCTCTTAATTTTCTTGCACACAGTATTTTCTCCTCAGTGATTATTGCCTTGTTAGGAAGACAAAAGCTATTTCTAAAAAAAAAGTTTCTTAATAATCCTGCATCCCTCCAGTTCATCTAGGCTTTAAAAAAAAAAATCTTACTCTAGAAGTAAACCTTTGAACACCTTGTATTAGCTATTATGCTGACCTGGCCAATCAAAACTTTATAGATACATACTTACTTGGTAGATGCCAAAGCTTGGGGTTCCTAGGTCAGTACTTAATACATTTTTAAAATTGGTGCCTACTTGCCTCCGCAAGAAACGTTTCCATATCTTCTTGACTCTCAAAAACGAAAGCCCTCATGTCACTGGCCGAAATGTGACTTTCAACATATTTAGCATATCTGTTGTCTTTCATATTGATCTGATAAAAAAACATAATGAGAAAGTGATTTAATATAATTGTACTTAACATCCCCCACAAAACATTTTAAGCAGTCAGATGATATCAAAGCCTACACTTAATGAAAACAAAGATAATGTTTAAATGTCTCCAAAGAAATAATCCCTGCTTCTTTGCAGCCAGTTCTCTTGGGAAGAAACCTACATCAACTCACATATCATTGTGTTCAGTTTTTAGCTGTCCATATCCTTTCTCAGCATGCCTAGAGCTATCACTGTCTCCACCATACCACCTTCCCCTCTTCTGCTCCACCTGAATCTTACAATTGCAGCCACCACTATCTCATGTTTAGTGGCTCTGCTCCAGTACTACTAAAAGTATCTCACTGTTTAAAAACAGTTAACCAAAGGAAACAAAATCAGAAAACACCACACTCCACAAATTGTTCTTATGCAGTTCCCTTTGATTTGAGCACAGTGAACATCACCAAATACAAATACAGAACTGCGAAGCCCTGTGTCGTGGGTTAAAGTTAACTTAAAGTTAACTCTGTTTTTTTTCTTTTCTCTCCCTCTTCTTCATAAATAGCTAGCAAGAGGCTGTGTTTTGGATTTTGGCTCAGGAGAAGCTGATAAGACCGATGTTTTGTTCTGCTGCCAAGGTCAGCAGACGAGCAAAGAGGCACAGCCGGTTGCTAGCATAGGACTTGCCCTTATGTTAAAACTGAAACTCAGAATAGCCAATGATATTCCATAACATGCACGTCATTCCCAGTATCTAGGTAAGAACACCTGGAAAAGTGTTCTTTTGCCTCCGCTCCGCTTTTTCGGT